CCGAGCCTATTGCCGTTTCATGCGAGACTGAGCCAAATGCGTTCCAAATTAATTTATGCTGTGTAGAGGATTCTGATATATATATATGAAATGAATATAAATGTAGTTTGTCCATAGTTTACTAATATGAATATATAATATGATAGATATGTATGTATGTATGTATAATAAAATTACTATAACACCAATCTGTAGGCATATACACTTAGATAAAAAAAATAATTTTTCAAATTGGTTTACAACTGACGGAGTTATGAGGTTACAAATATAAAAGAAAATACAACCGAATTGAGGATCTTCTTTTTTTTTATACAACTTAGAATGGCAAACAAGCTGACGGCCCACCTGATGGAAAGTAGTAACCGTCGCCTATAGATATGAGCAGTACAATGGACATAACAGAGTATACTATTTCGCCCATGATCCCTCAATGCGTTGCTATTCTTGAGGACTCAGGTGTTATTCCTCTGTACCCAGTAAATTCACGCCATATCGAACTCTTCAAACCGAAACACAGCCATGCAAACACCAACTGCTTTACGGTTGAAACACGAATGGGACAGAAGTACCCAAACAAACGACTTTTGTACAAAGTCTCCCTCTGGTAAAATTTCTTTATGAAGTCAGTTGCAAATTGTAACTAAACGATATTTGCATATGGGAAATATTTGAGAAAAATTAATATGAAGAGTCTTACAGAAGCAATAGAAGCCATAACATTTTTTTTCGATTGTATCATTCCATCTGTCTGTCTGTAGGTTTGTTCCAGCAACATGCAAAACGTACTGCACTAAGTTGGATATAGTTTTCATATTTGTTATTTCATAGATTTTCACCATCGTACAACCCACCATAAACTAAAATTTCATTCTAACCATCTGGACGAGTGGTGATCCTCCACCGTGCGTTTTTCAAGGCACTTTTTTCCACGCACAGCTACAACGAGCATGCGGCACACCTGATGGTAAGTGACTACCGCCGCCCATGGTCACCCAGAACACCTACGGCATTGCAGGTGTGCTGACGGCATTTTAAAAATGAATATGCTCTTTTCTTGAAGGTTATGTTGTCGTATCGGTTCGGAAATACTGCTGCTGGAAGTTGATTCCAAAGAGTGGGTTGGTTAGAATGAAATAGTAACACTACCCGCGCTATAGGTATACACCGGCGGGGCACCAGTGAAAGACGATAGGTGAGGATGAAACAGGTCAGTTAGCCCATCGTGACGAATTCAACGATAATTGTTCACGATGGTCTCCAGGGGGAACCACGTGGAAGTTTACCTGATAGGACATATTGCTAGCAATGGGGCTGTATCAGTTGGGCCGTATGCTTTCCACCTCAGTGGTATAAAAGAAAATTCCCGTCTCTTATATTAATATAAGGAAAACGTTTGTAAAGAAAACTTTCCTTTTAAGATATTTCTGTGACCTTCTTACGTTTTTTGGTTAGGTACTCGTGTGAATGTAATAGGTCTATCTTCTAAATCTCATCAAACCGCTTACCTGTTTAATTATTTCAAAACTGTAAAGCAGCTAAATTATATATCATTAACATGTACGAGATATGTCTTTCAAAGGAGTATTTCCTTTCATCTAATACAATAATTACAATGCTACAGACTGTTAGAACGTATAATGATTTCGCGGAAAATTGTGTAAATTTCTAACAAGATGTAACCTTATAATCCAACTATAAAAGGGTCGGTTATCATATTCTATTATTTATTATACTATAATTAGTATCTCAGCAGGCAACCTCTAATATTTTAATATGTGATTTTAAATGGAAGATTTGAATATTCTTATTTAAAGACTAGAAATAAAGAACTAAGTAGAACAAAGATTTAATTTTAAACTATTGCATCGTTGACACATATTTTAAACACAGACGAAGACGCTTCTCACTTTAGTCCTGTCGTTACACATAGGTTATATTCTGACTTAGAACACAGCATACTTTATATATTATTTTACGCAGACAAAACAGCAGAATATTGCTAGTATTTTTATAAATTTTAGGGGAAGTTTGTTTTTAATGTTTTTTTGGATATTAACACTTCAACGGCTCAGCCCTTTATTATAAAGTTTAGTATAAACTTAGTATTCAAGATGCAGAAGGACATAGGCCTTTTATTTTGGTCAATCTACATATCACGATTATGCAGATGAATTTCCAAGTAAAAATTATAAATCGTTGCATAAAAAAAATCAACGCTAAGAATAAATAAAAACTCTTTATTGTTCCCTTCTAAGAATGATACAGATTATATATATTAACAATATATACATAAAAAACTTATTAACATAAAGGTAAGATAAAAAGGCAAAAATTAGCGCTCTTAAATAGCGATCTCTTCTAGGCAACCTTAGGATGAAGAGGAATAATAAAATATTGATCCATATTAAAGCGTATCAGAAAAGTATTAATAATAAAAAAGGAAACAGAGACTAAATATAAATTCATCATCGTCATCATTTCAGCCATTACCACTGCTGTACATAAGCCTCCCCTATAGACTGCCATAAAGAACGGTCTTAAGCCACCTGCATCCACTGACTCCCTGCAATGTATTTCAAGTCGTCACTCCATCTAGTGGGGGGTCGTCGTACATTGCATAACTAAAGATAAATTCAAACCAGTATAAATACATATACAATAGTCACGCCTGTCTTCCATTAGGATAGGCAGTATAAATAATGTGTTACTATGTTACTTATAGGAGGAATTCTAAATTACATCAAGCACCAATGGTTGACATCAGCATACGAATAAATGTATTGCAATATGTATTTGTTCATACATGAATATTGCCAGTTTATTTCATACGAGTCACGTTTATCCTTGATGGGGTGGCAGAGATATATTCCCTATTTGTGAAACATTTTAACAATCAAACCCACCCATCGTTCATATTGCTATGTAAGCTTCAAACGTGACACACTGGGAGCTCCGCTTGTTTATAAATGGTTTCTTATATTTTTCTATGTAACTACTAAAGCTAACGAAAATCAAATAAGCTGACTGTTAGACACGATCATATACATACATATATATCACGGAGACGTCAGTAACCAATGTTTTCGATCTTTAATAAATCTCCTGCTACACGTTCCTATAAACTGCACGGGCTTTTCCTCTGCTTTTGCCATTTAGGCTTTCAAGCATTGGAATGTTTTGCCCTTTGGTATTAAATCTGCCCTAAGTAAATTAGTAATCAAACATGTTCCTGTCCACTACACTGGCTTTGCCTCTAATTCTTTTGCTGTTCAGGCTATCAATTACTGAAATGCTTTACTCTTTGGCATTAGATCTGCACCAAGTAAATTAGCATTCAAGAATAAACTACGTTCTTTTTATTTAGAATCCATAGTATAGTAATATTTTTATATAATTTAGACACTTTGCTTTGCCTAATACTATTGTTTCTCTCGTATCTGGGTAGTTTTTCGTCCGATATTATTTACTATTATAATATAAAATGTATGTAATATAAGTACTATATGTAGATATGTTTTTTTTTAATATTGTATATTACTTTGTACCGTCTAATTGACGATGCAAAGTAATAAGTTTTCTGTTATTCCTGTCTACAGTCGACTGGTAGATAACGCCATATGGTCTAAAGTTCGCCATTTACACTTTCTTAGTGTATATATATATATATATATATATATATATATATATATATATATATATATATATATATATATATATATATATATATATATACAAGAATGGTTACCTGCTTTGTAATGGCATAATACTCGTAGCAATAGCTGCTGTTTAGAGTCAAATGAGTTTTGCAAGGTAATATAAAATGCGAGGCCCTGTTATTTGTAGTAATTGTGTTACGCTTACATGGGATACAAAAATATTATTGTTATATTAGCCATTAAGTGTCCACTGCAAAAGCAAAGGGCTCACCTATAATGAGAGTTTTGCCAGCAGTTGCCACGCATAGCAGGCAGGTTGGCAACCGCAGTTAGACTTTGGCGATGCTTTAAGAGGGACGCTGCTGGTCATCTTTCGAGCATTAAATTCCCTTAGTCACCTCTTATTGTGACACTCTTTATTATGACACCCAGGAAAAAAGAAGAAGTGGGCCATTCTATGCCGGGAGAACACGGCATAGGATAACAAATACTTTTTTTTAATTTAGAACATGGTCCATCCTTGTTGTTTAAATCATGTCGAATCCTTGAAACGTACTCAACAAATATTCAAATATTTATAATATTAAATTCTGTAGCAACAGACAACTGAAAATATATTCCAAAATTAAATATTCAAATATGAGAAACACAATAAAAATATTTTCACACGAAACTGAAAGAAGCAATAACTAATAATTGTTGAAAGTCAAAATGGAAAGTCAGCGTTGTATATAATATTTTTTACTGAATAAAGTTGATTGCTTTTGTAAGTTTGAACCTAGTCAATGTCTAGTTTGTTCAATATTAATATTTGACATAGACGGAATATAATTAAATTGTGTTTCACAAATAAAAAAAAAGACGTGTGGCAGTCGGGGACTGCCGCGGTAAAGCTAAGCTCTGCCGCCGTAAGAGTGGGGGGTGTTAGGTTCCATTTCCGTTACGGAATTTTTACATTCGGTCTCCGCGCTCAAGGCCCGCGATAAAAGCTATACAATAGCTTAAAAAACGACTTCAATTGTCTTGAAACAAGTTTTTGGTAAACCGATTTTGGTAAAGTTTCTATGGTACCTATTAGTAGGTATATCCTCTCAAATAAATTAAGAATTTTCCAAATTGGTTTATAATTGACGGAGTTATGAGGTAACAAACATAAAAAAAAATACAACCGAATTATTTCCTTCTTTTTGAAGTCTATGCACTACTTCAATACCGATTCAAAATTGTGTAGCTTTACTAGCTTTTACTCGTGACTATGTCCACATGACAGGAATATATTGGTTTACGGGGTTTCAAAGTAGCCTATATACATATAATAAACATGCACCAAATTTCATAGACTGGTTAAGTCGTTAAATAATATTTATTTAATTAGACTACATAAGGCCCATTTTGTTAGTTATAAATTGACTTAACCTATGTTAATAAATGAGCGGTTATAACGCTCTTACATTGATAACCTGTCCCACCCAATATTTTAGGATAGAACAGTCTATTAAAGCTAAAGCTAAAGCGCCAATAAACATTGTTTTGAATTGTTTTGCTTCTCTAATAACAATAATGATTTTTTTTGTTTAAGTAAACTTAATTATAAACATTTTTGAATTATCATTTAAAATTATTTTATTGCCCAGTTCGAAATACAAAGTCATCTAAGAATTACGGGCAAGAAATTATTGCTTTCTTTCTTAAACAATTTTTATCTCTTGTAACATTTTTTTCTTAAATAAACCGTCCATTTCTAATTTCAATGAATCCAAATATCATTTTCAATCAAGTAAGCTATTATTTCAATTGCCATTCAAATTTTCGTCAAAAATTTACGGATAATAACTGGCCATATTGTGCAGTATTCTGCATTAAACCATCCATGAAATGGAAGGAAAAACAATAGCAAGCGAGCAGAAGCGCGGACAATCGAGCCTACTCCGGATGGCAGGGTGACCTCGATAGCCGCTTGGGTACTCTTGTGGTGCTTTGCATTATAAGATTTCTAGTAATGTGTGGTTATTAATAACTACCTAATATTAATTCTTATCTTATATTATAATAAAATAGTAATTAATCTCTGTGCATGGGCGATATTTGAGAAAATTTGACATGAGCAATAGAAGCCAAAATTATATTTTTCGAAATTTTGTCTATCTATATTATTGTTCCAATATCACGCAATAACTACTAGGTATGGATAATATGAATACCGATCCGGTATCTATATATTAGTGTTTTGTGGACATTAATGATGAAAAAAGGTCATTTAGATACCGCCCATATTGATCGGATATCTATGTTCGAATATGTTAAAAATCCGTTATAAAAAAATACTTATTCTATACCTATTTTATTTTTGTGTGATTATTATTATTCAACACTGACAACGTTATAATTTATCATTTAATTATAATTTAATAAACCCACCACAAATTTATTATATTTTTTTTTTTTACACAATACACTTTAAGCACACCACTGTGTTAGTCAGACTTATCCAAATACGAGTATTATTGTTATTATTAGGACGCCGCGGGTTGGCGAGGCGCGTGCTGAAAATCAGCGCTGTAGTGTCCCTGACACTACAGCATAATGCTGAGCACGGACCTCATTTTGCAGGTATTGTGACGCACGCACACACACACTCATTTTGGATGAAACTGTTATAATACGAATTGTTTTTTTTTCTTTTTTAATTTTATATTCTTTTTTTTTTTTTATATATATATAAATATTGTGTGTAGTTTCGTTGTTAGAATTCTTAATATATGATTTTTTTTAACCTCTGTGTGGGTGTAGTCGCATATTTCTGTAGAATAAAGTTTCTTTCTTTCTTTCTTATCCTATATTATTTTTGGATAACGGATTTTTAACATATTCGTTATTGAATCTGTACATAGATATTGTAATTAAAATATATAGTTATTGCTATGTTACCTACCTCTAATAACTACTACACTTAAATAGATGTGGTTTTCACAGTTATTGTCCTAAAGTCTAACTTAAAATCTCGTATATCTTTTGTCTTGATACGCCATCTAGAAGTGTTCATTTTCTATTGGTCAATTTTTCTAATTTTTCTGTTTCTCAAATCCATACATACGAAGTAGCTGGCAATAAGCTAGTTTATAATGGAATTTTATTTGAAAAATGGTTATTAATTAAAGTCTATCATTCTATAATTCAAACGTATACATTAACGTGCTTGGTGTTAGTAAATCATGCAATGATTTACTAACACCAATTTACTAACACTTAAATATTTATTATAACACATAATTTTAACATAAATTAGAAATGAAAATTAACTGTTAGATTTATTATAATTTGAACTATAAAATTTCTTCAACAGATAACTTTACAAAATTGTAATAAAAAGTAATAAAAAAATTCCTTGTCTTTTTCTCAGTGCCCTACACACAAAGGTTGTCTGGAAGATTGCTTAGTGATAAGGCCGCCTTTGTATCACTTCTCATTACAAATCACTATATTTTCTATTATTTTCATAAATGATGCAATAAAGTGTAAATAAAAAAAAAACCAGAGGGAGACATTGTACAAAAGTCGATTGCTTGGGTACCTCTGTCCCATTCGTGTTTCAACCGTGAAGCAGTTGTGCTTGCATGGCTGTGTTTCGGTTTGAAGGGTGGGATATGGCGTGAATTTACTGGGTACAGAGGCATAACATCTGAGTTCTCAGGAATGGCAACGCATGGGGGGTATCATGGGCGAAAAGGTATATTCTGTTATGTCCACGGTACTGCTCATGTCTATAGGCGACGGTTACCACTTTCCACGGGTGGACCGTCAGCTAGTTTCCCATTCTAAGTTGTATTAAAAAAAATACATAAATACAATAAAAAAAAATGAGATATCTGAAGAAATATCAGAATCTATTTGAATCGAACCTGTGGTAAGCGGTAAGTTGGTGGCAAATTTACTCAATGTTTTCTTTTATTGATATTATATATTATTCTTTACTTTGTCATTGTTAGTTTACCCAAATAAAAATATATATATATATATTAAAAATATTTTTAGTTGACTATAAAGTAAATTAGTAGCATAGTAGAAGAAAAATCGTTTAAAATTTAGTATTCACGTGCATGTTATAAATAATCGGAGGCAGCTAACAGAATAACCTTTAATCTACTGAGATATTTTGAAATAATATTCTTTGTTCAAAATATAGTATTTTATTTCGATTACACAAGACCCAACCTTTAGCAATTTAGCTTATCTGTAAAAAACACAGACCGGTCTATATATAATAGGTTTATATTTTTTTAGATTGCCTAGAAAATATTACGTCTAAGAGTTATAAATAAAGACTAAAAAACCTTTAATACTTTATTGCAGTTTAACTGTATATTGTTTTTTTTTATACAACTTAGAATGGCAAACAAGCTAACGGCCCACCTGATGGAAAGTGGTAACCGTCGCTTATAGACATGAGCCGTGCCATGGACATAACAGAGTATAATGCTTCGCCCATGATACCCCCCATGCGTTGTCATTCCTGAGAACTCAGGTGTTATTCCTCCGTACCCAGTAAATTCACTGCCATAACCCACCCTTCAAACTGAAACACAGCCATGTAAACACAACTGCTTTACGGTTGAAACACGAATGGGACAGAGGTACCCAAGCAATCGACTTTTGTACAAAGTCTCCCTCTGGTAAGCCTCTGGTATGCGTCTCCTTACTGGCATATGCCCAGTTAGGGCACCCATAATAAGTCTTGCCTGTTGTCTGCCACTCAACGTAGTAGAGAAAATGTCCATTTGTATTCAATTAACGTTTAATATCAATTTTAATCTTAATTACTGTTGCAATATTTAGCCATAATAAATTAATACAATTCTGATAACATTAATTTTTTTCTAAACTTACTCATTTATATGTAAATACGGACGGATGGACAGACAACGAAGTGATCCTATAAGGGTTCCGTTTTTCCTTTGGAGACACGAACCCTAAAAATTGAATTCACCATTTCTTTCAGTGCGTAAATTATTAATTTACAATATTGTCATTATAGTTTGAATATAAGCATTTGGCGTTCTATTGTTTCTGTTATGAGAAATGAAAAAAATAATGGTTGAAGGATAGGCAGCAGCGTTCTTCTTAAAACATCGCCCAAGCCTACATTACTAACAGGAAAGGGATTGTTAGTAATGTAGACTGAGAATCTCATTGCTAGCAATATACCCAACCAGGTGGACCTCCTCGCGGTTTTCCCTGGAAACTATCATGGTTAATTCCTGCTAAATTCATCATAATGGGCTAACTGGCCTGTTTTCATTCTCATCTAACACCCTTCACTGGTGCTCCGCCAGCGCATCCCGTTAGCGCAGGCAGGGTTACCATACCATTTTCATTCATCAAAAAAACTATGGTTGTCAACCCGCCTGCTCAGTGTGGCAAATATTAATATTCCCCCAATAAGGAGAGGTCTTTGTTCAACAGTGGATAATTAATGGCTGTTATGATGATGATGATGATGATGATATGATTGTAAATAATCTACCTTCAAATTTGTTAAATTAACAATATCTTCTATTTGTATGATTTTTTTTGCGTAACATCAAGAACGCGGAATATCAAGGTGACATCATTGTTTATAATTTATATGAGGTTCACATCTCCTCTATTAATTTAATTTACGGTGAAATAAAACACATTTCACTTTATTTCATTTATCTTCTTTTAAGATTTTATCATAGACAAAATATCTAACTATAGGTAGTTCAAAGCACTCAACCGATGTCTAGTCATGTTCAGTGTCTTAGAAAGAAATTGAAAATATCATATTTACGCGTCTGATTTATTAAAATATATACTTTAAGACGTACCTATTTGTTCAAATGACGTATTTATTTCTTACTCTAATATCGTACCGCAATATGTATTAAAGATTATATAAATTCTATTAATATTCTTGTTTTTATAGTAGTTATCGTTACTTTATTGTAACTGAAACGAATAATATACTTTACAAATTAAAAGTCATGTTGAAATTGTCCTTGTACAGCTATGTCAGGCTTGCCACGTCCCACTTCTTGAGAGATGGCTCCACCAGCGGAAATACGGGTGTTCTTATCAAGGTTCCATACTCCGGACCCTGTTGCTGTTACCTGGAAATCAACCAATATTGTCACAGTTTGAATGACTCTTTTCTACCAGTTGTCCAACGTTATCATTAGCTTGCACATAAGAAAAAACAGGATACGGAAGGTTACTTTCTCGCTCTACCTCATGCTTGCTACAGCGATAATGTACGAATATTTATTGTTGGACTCGAGACTGGGACATCTGCGAACTCCCTACGGGATGCAAGTACGAGTCTTGAGCATGCTCCTTGCTTGAGCGTACGGTGGCATGCTGCACCGCGTCGTTCATCCTGACCCAAGGGGCCAAACCTGCGCTATAGAAGCGACAGATTCGTTTACCGATTGTCTTGGGAGCTTCCAAGACAAACGACTGCTTTCGTTATTTGATGTACGAAGATATATACATACCATGGTCGTTAGGAATAGCAACGCATGAAAGTACCATGGGCATCACAGTATATTCTGTGATATCCATAATACTCTCCATGTGATTATCAATTTCTGAGCCTTCAACTCGTTTTCCATTATAAGTATCATAAAAAAAATAACCGGAGGCGAAGAAAACTTGTTACAATATTAAATTAAGATATGGTCAAAACTAAACAGATTCACTATCAATAAAATGACCTACATGATGCAGTAGGGTCAGCATATTTCTTTTGTGTTCATGAGTTTTCCGAATTGAATTCCGATGGAGCTAATTTATGAAATGTGCTTCTGTGAATTGGATCGAATCTAGGTGTAGCTGATTATATCGACAGTTGATTTTATCTATTTCCTCGTGATGCAGGACCAATTGATATTGCGATTGTGTACCGCTATTATAAAAATAATAAAGGCCACTATCTGATCCTCAAACTGAGATAGGTATCATTATAATATGTTATTGGAAATAACAAGAATAGATCTGAGGCAATTTGAAAAGGATCGTTTACTTAATTGGCTCCACTAGGAATTCGTTCCAAGAATTCATTTTCCAAATGATGGTTAGACAACTCTTTATTTTTTTCCCTCAAAAGATTATATAGTAATAAAATAGCAGGAAATGTAATTATAGGAAATAGAGAACAAAATATACCGACTTGCCTATAAACGTTAAATCCAATTAGTGCGTTTAAGTAATGTTGTTTTATCTATGTTAATAGATAGAGACGCCACGTGGTCTCGGCATAGAACGGCCGGCATAAAAGCCTAACTGCGGTTATAAACCCGCCTATTAAGCGTGGCAAGTAATGGTAAAACTCTCCAAAGGAGAGTCTTATATACAGCAGTGGACAGTTAACGGTTGATATGATAATGATGATGATATAGATATAAAAGACAGTTTCTACAGAAATTCCGTCAGGTAAAAAAATTTTAATTCCAAACCAAAAATCTCTATAGATAAATACTTTATCAAAATTGAAGTATTTGATATCATTCACTGACGCCTACTAGACATTGTACATGGTTTTGTTCACACTAAATCCGTATCTTCTGTACATATAAGAATTTCAAAAAATCTCCTTTATTCCGAAATAATCTAGCGATGTTGAGCATGAGTGCCCTCTAACGTTTCATAAAGTACATGCAGAGGGTACTCAAAACTCGCTACGAGGCGTTTAGTATTCATCTACAATAAGGAACTATTGTGCAAAATTTCATACCTCTAGTCCTACTAGTAAGGTTGTACATTCATGAGTCAGTCAGTATTAGAGTGAGAAGGAGGAAGCGGGAATTAGCGTTCTTTTTTTTTTAGTAAATTATACTCACACTGGTACGCCCACCAATTTGCTTGCTAATATCCAACGCAGCTTTTGCATCTTTATTGGACCAGTCTAATCTTCCTCCGAGATTGCTGGTACCACCATCAGCTCCTAAAACCCTAGTACCGTAAGCTTGCCCTTCTAATTTTCCTCTGTTGTCATTGAATATTTCTTGCTTGTAACCACCTTTGCCCTGCCAATAAAAAATGTATTAATAGTGTTAACTGTTGACATTTAATAAAATTTCATATTTATAATTATGAAGTCCATGATGCAGTGGTAGGCATATAGCTTTAATATAATGAGGGGGAGAAGGGATTGTTAGTAATGGGGATTAGTAGTCTCATTGCTAGAAATATACTCTGTCATGTCGACCTCCTCGTGGTTCCTCCGGGAAACCACGGTGAATGATTTATTGTTAGATTCGTCACGGTAGCCTGACTTGCTTCATCCTTACTTATCCTCTCTCACTGGTACCTCGCCAGTGTATACCGATAGCACAGGTGGGGATACCATTTCATAATCGTCCATTAAAAAAAAATGTAATTAGGTCCTGAATTCGACTTTCGGCTGGGCCAAGCCAGGAAGTGAACTTTTATACATATTTTTTTTTACTGTTGAAGGATCCCACGATTGATCACGATTTCATTTGATGAAAAGCGATGATGTGGTCTAAAATGAAGCTAGCGAACTCACGAGTAGCTTGCTGAAATTGGCTAGAGTTTGGGTGTTCTAAGGTGTATCCTCAGATGTTCATTGCCAGATTGTAAATTAAGAAATAGGTGATTGATATGATTACCAAATTGGTCGTTAACTGTCCACTGCTGAACATAGGCCTCCTCCATAAAAGGAGTTTTGTCAGTAATTGCCACGCTTGGCAGGAAGGTTGGCAGCAGTTAAATTTGGCGGTTTTAAGAGAGACGTTGCTGTCCATCCTTCGACCATTCAGTTTCCTTAGTCGTCTCGTCCGACATTCATAGAAAAGGAAGGGATGGCTCGTTCTATGCCAGGACCACAAATCTCATAATACTTATATGGTGATGATGATAATGAGAAATGTGTATTTTTAAAATGAATTTTATTTGCGTATTTTAATGTATATTGTTGACAGTTGGAAATATTTTCATGTTATTTAAAAAGCTTTTTGTTTATCTCGATAAAGTCTCATTTTTTTATAAACAACTTAGAATAACAAACAAGCTGACGACCCACCTTATGGAAAGTAGTAACTGTCGCCTATAGACATGAGCAGTACCATGGACATAACAGAGTATACTGTTTCGCCCATGATACTCCCCATGCGTTGCCATTCCTAAGGACTCAGGTGTTATTTCTCTGTACCCTGTAAATTCACGCCACATCCCACCCTTCAAACCGAAACACAGCCATGCAAACACAACTGTTTTACGGTTGAAACACTAATGGGACAGAGGTACCCAAGCAAACGACTTTTGTACAAAGTCTACTTCCCTTATATATCCATTTTTTTTCTGAATATGTTTGCTGTTGGCCGTGAGTGGCCTTTACAGCTTCACCGAACGCGTATACAGGGATACAATTATGACCTGTCATTTTATATACTAATAATTTTATATATAAACATAAACTTTCAGACTTTCAAATATTTCATACGAACACTTAATTAAATCAGTCCATTATTGGAACCCAGATTGAACAATCCTTGCAGTTTCACACGCAATTTATCATGTAACGATACCAATGTTCAGATTTTCGATCGAGTATCGCACACGAATCAATCGCGCTATAGGATGTTATAATTTATCTAACAGCGTGTCAAAGTAATTCGAGAAATGCTTGTTCATTCCTCGAATTCCTTTGAGTGCTTGATATTTCCGTACGGGCGAGATTAATTGTGTAGACACTTGATATCGAATTCCAGAGGAAACTTTGTACAAAAGTCGTTTGCTTGGCTACCTCTGTCCCATTTGTGTTTCTACTGTGAAGCAGTTGTGTTTGCATGGCTGTGTTTCGGTTTGATAGATGGGATATGGCAGTGAATTTACAGGGTACAGAGGTACAACATCTTAGTTCTCAGCAATGGTAACGCATGGGGGATATCATGGGCGAAACAGTATACTCCGTTATGTCCATGATATTGTTCATGTCTATAAGCGAAGGTTACCACTCACTATCAGGTGGACCGACAGCTTTTTTGCAATTCGAAGTTGCATAAAAAAAGAAATTCGTCAAAGCAAATGCTGCCAATATTTGACAAATCTATTTCTTTTGATCAACAGAGGGTATCATTAAGCGTGTAACCCGATAGTTACAGAAATATGCCATTACATCACCGTAAACGATCTTTATCGCCGATATTGATCACTGTGTGTATAGAAATGGTACCCCGGTATAGAGTCGTAAGAGACGATGTAAGGGAGGGCGAGGAATGGACAGCAGCGTTCCTCTTAAAACATCTCTAAAAGCCTAACTGCGGTTGCAAACCCGCCTGCCAAGCGTGGTAAGTACTAACAAAACTCCCCTTATGTCAATCAGTGGAAAGTTAACGGCTGAAATAATTAATAAAGAAAAAACATTCTTTAACATTTATTTCATACTAAGCAATAGTATGTAAAAAGAAGCCAATTTGGGACGTTACTTAATATACGATCTGGGTATATATATGACTGTCTTTAAGTAGGTGTTAACACAGAAGAAATATTACTGTTTTATCTATGATACTACTTACGAACAGTCCCTGGTCGTCATTGCCAAGGGTACCGAAGACTTTTCCTTTACCCACTTGTTTGTCCCACGTCACATCTCTGGGATGACGGGCTTGCTTCGAATAATAGTATTGTGGATATCTGTATATAAAAATTAATATTAAAATTTGGAATAGACCAGTCTTTAACGAAATATTTAAATTAGATCTACCACTTTACATCGTCAGCGAATCGTCAGCTTGCTGTATTCTAAGCTGCATAACAAATACACACGTATTCTAGCTTCGCCCTGTGGTCACAACATAGAATGGACCACCTCTTCCTGACCCGTGAGTGTCGTATAATGTCGTATAATAGAGGAATTTAATGGTCGAGAGATGGGAAGCAGCGTCCCGGTTAAGACTTTTTTTATGCAACTTAGAATGGCTAACTAGCTGACGGCCCACCTGATAGAAACATGATAACCGTTGCCTATAGGCATGAGCAGTACCATGGACATAACAGAATATACTGTTGCGCCCATGATACCTCCCATGCGTTGCCATTCCTGAGGACTCAAGTGTTATTCCTCTGTGCCCTGTAAATTCACTGCCATATTCCACCCTTCAAACCAAAATACAGCCATGCAAACAAAACTTCTTGACGGTAGAAATACGAACAGGACAAATGTGCCCAAGTTGTTTGACAACTTTTGTACAAAGTCTCCCTCTGGTAAAAACATGTGACGGTTCGCCTATAGTACAATAGGTTTAATACCATAAGTACATAGAAAAGAAACAGGGGTTCCTATGGGTGACCGCTGCGAAAGCGGAGTTATTTAATATAAACAAACTTTAAAGTCAAGGTTCACAATAGTATACAGAGAAGACGTTACCATATATGAAATATTGACACAGAAGGGAAACTCCTTTGATGTGTTTCCAAAGTGTAGTGGATGTCACAAGAAAATTAAATAAATTAAACAAAAATATATTATATTTTATATATAACCAAATTATAGTTTACCTTTTTATCATCAGGTGTAAAAAAGATACATACAACACAGTTTAATAAGGTTTATGAGAGTCTTTAAAGTTTTATAAATTCGATAATCGATTTAATATAAAATACCAAAATACGTTAACATATAATTAAATTGAATTTAAAGAAAAGTTCAGTTCGAATAATAGGCTAAATCTGATTATTGAAATATCTACCCTTCGGTGACATAATCTATGACGTTATTAGAGAAAGAATAAAAAAAAAAAAAGGAGGAGGAGAGCCGGCAGATCGGCGGGCGCGCGAGAGTCGCTTTTTAGGAATTGCGCAATAAAAAAAAAAGAAAAAAAAAAAAAAAAAGATGGCGCAGGAGTGGTGTTTTAAGGAACTGCGCAATAAAATAAAAAAATAACTGGGATATAGATCTAGGAGGGACTGGATCGATGAAGGGGTTTGAGATCTTAGTGTATCACTATCGATTAAGTGTGTGAAATTAATCAATCGAAGACTGGAGTATCCGGTGAGCTTGTTCCATTTATTACTACGTAGTTAGATTTTTGACTGTGATCACAGGCAAAGTTTATACTTAATATTTTTCCCAACAACTATTAAAATACGTATTTAGTCGAGTCCATATACCTTTAGGTAATGCGTATATCGTTAAATGCAATCACATTTGAACAAAGTTTACATCAATATAATTTACGTACTTACGTTATTCTACTCATATACAAAATCCAATTATATGGTCGTTTGATAGAACTTCATCAATTTGATTCAATGTTCTAATTGTCCAGTTTTGGAAAATACTTATTGAATCAACTATTGAACTATTACAATACTAACTAGTTTCATATCTAGTTATTATAAAGTATTTATTTATTGAGGATAATAGACTAAAGTGACTATGGTCTGGTCTCATTGCTGGGGAAACAGCCATTGATGAGAGAGAGGGGTTATTGAGTGGCGACCCTGTAAATGCAAGTGCGGTGTGGGCTACCTCCATTGTTTGGAGTGACTGTTTTATGTGTATTGTGGGGCCGTTCCTTGTGTCAGTCGGTGGAAATTGCCTGTGTTCAGTCGTGGGTTGGTGATGGTTGAGACGATGATGATGATGAAATATTTGTATTTATTACACAATTACAGTGTTGGTTTGGAATATCTGTTCATACTTAACGCTTCATGGTGAAGTGTTTTTATACCATTACTCAGTCGACCAGATTAATGATTCTTAGTCTATATTTGATTATCCATGACTACATGTGGGGATTTGTTTTACACCAGATGTACAAAGAGACAGCTTAACTGTTGCAAGTGATATTATGTGAATGTAATACTTTTAATACATTATTAATTGTGTTACTAAATAAATTCATGTGACTGTGGGGTGTTTATGGTAAACAAGCCTGTATTGTTTAAATAGATATTTTGTCTTGATTTATTATAAACTTTAATATTGATTTTGTTGTAGTAAGCAAGCTGATAATAACAATTCTGTGTGTATTACTGATTACTAATAATATTTAATTATGCTGATATTATAGGTGTGGATTTATTTCCTAATGGTAATAAAAGTACTGAAAGATTCTCTGACTATAGTTGCTCTTGACTAGGTGTGGGGTTCGGTATGGAATTGGTACTGTATGACACTTGTGAGGCTATGTATTTTGCTCATATTTAGAAAGGAAGTTGTCCTGGCGATGGGGTTTGTATGTATGTTGTTTGTTCATGTTATATTGACTAGACAAGTTCGGACAGGGTTAATATTAGTGAATATTTACTGGATTTATATTTAATATACATGTTTTGAATATTTTATGGGAATAGTATGGAGATATACAAGTAGTAAAATATAATATTAGTATTTTATAAATTTAATTATTGAGTTATATGTTTATGTCGGACTGTATCCAAGGAGATATTATCCTATTAATATCAAGTTAGGACAATTACTTTAAATATTAATAAAGCAAACACTAACACTGATTATTCACTTCTTTAATAAATTTACATTAGAGGTTAGGAATCAAATAGATAGCATATTGGGAAATCTTCACCACTCATGTATTTGAGGAATGTTCTTGATAATTAGTACTGTATGTATATATTATTGCAAGTACAATTGCAATAAGAATGTTAAACTTCTAATCTTCTGTTCATTCTTGAATTTGAAAGTAAGCTTGGCTACTGATATGAATATAAAACTGCAGCATTACTGGATACTATTAATTATTTCTGGTGTAAACCATGATTATTTATGTCACTGATAATTTAGTTGTATATTACGGTTGATATATGATGATTTTATATTTAATTATATTAAACAAATACAAATAAACAAACTTGCTAGTATTTGTTACGTTGACAGTTGTGATAGATAATCAAAATTCAATTCAATACATCAATACGTCATTCAATACGTCATTAATGTGACAGATGTCAAACAAAAGGAGATTATACACGTTATGATTCTATATCTAAGTCTATAGAAAATTTATATAATTTTCTGTTATTTTATAATAACTGTAGGGGAAATATTGGAATTATTTATATGAGAAATTTCACTTAAATGATATGATAATTATTTAAAGACCTAATTTCTTAGGGATTTAATCATGATGATTTAAACACTAAAACACTTGTTTATCTGAGAAATCCTCTTAGTAAATAGGTTTACTAAGACACTAAAAGGAAGTAGATATAGTATAACTATAGTACAGCTACAATAATTGTATGGGACTTACTGTCCTTTCTATACAAATATATATTTAATATATATCTTTTACATTATAATTATTCAATATACATCTACTACTCAACATACACAAATAGGACTTATTGTCCTTCCTATATACCTATATATAATAATTGACCTGGCACTTTAATGTGTAATTTATCAGTACTTACGTCAACAACCAATTAGGACTTATAGTCCTCTCTATAAAGCTACATAATTTATTAATCTGATTATTTCACAATGTGATTAATCAAACCTCTACAAATATTACAAAAGATCTCTATTACTCTCAACACAATAATAGCTTGTTGGACTTAGTGTCCTCAAACTTATAGAAAACCCAACTGGTTATTTTACGAGACGTTGTTAACTTGTGATTAATCAGTGTCTTTTAAAGGACTTATAGTTCCTTTAGATATATCTCTCTGAATAAATAATTGGTTAATTCACAATGTGGATAATCAACAATAATATTATATATAATTGACTGGACTTATAGTTCATTCAATAGCACTCATTACTTTTAGTAGCTCTCGACCTATGGGTTGGACTACTCGATCTTAGGCTCCGGCCTAATCAACAGATTTAACTTGAACCTTGAGTATTCTTGGCATTAAGTAAATAATATTAAATTGACAATGCTATGTTATGATATAGCAATTATCAACATTATATGGCTTGGCCAATTCCAGGGTGTGGAAGGTATCCCCTATCACACAAATCTTCATCTCTATCGGACTGTCTTCACAGGTGATCTCTAATGTCACATCATAGGGCCGAAGGGTTATGTCCCAACAAAGTAAGTTCTGGTGTCTGGGTGATCTCGCTTCTTGGTCTGATCTCTTGTGGAGCCGAAGGGAAACCCCCATTGAGTAAGCTCGTAACAGGGTGACGCTGGGAAACAGTTTCGTACTGTTAGTGGGTGATCTCTATGTCGCCATATAGGACTGAAAGGGTCATCGCCCATGAGTAAGCTCTCGTGTCGGAGTGATCCTGGGATTTCAGTTACGATTCGTTTGCCTCTGGCAAACACTAATTTATACTGGAAGCATCGTGGGGCTGGTGGAGCCACTGTAATGTTGAAGTAAATGTACTTATGTTTGGTTTGGAACTGAGAATACTCATTCCCTTATTACCATCAGAGTGCATTAATAAATAGTAATACCCTTCCCTACCTTTTTGGAGGAAGAGTTATAGATAGTTGGAAAGTCTTCCACTGGTCCGGGCGTGTGAGGGGCCCGACCGCTCCCCCATTTTTTTATTATTACAGTTATTCTGTAATTTACTATTAAATTAACATAACTTCCTTGTTACATGAATTATGAGTATAATTCATTAATTATTCTTAATCATTAAAGATTTATCAATCATCTTCATTATTTAACTCCTATCATATACCAATTAAAGAACCTTTTGGTTATTACAC